CCCGCTGCTGTCACAGGGATTTCTCCTCAGGTGTTCAGTGCTACGGCGGCGCTGTTCACTATTGCACGTGAAGTACAAATCAGTTTGAATTTAGAATGAAATTTAAAGGTCAGTCCGCTGTGCAGATACCTCTCTTCCAAAGAGGAGAAAATGGTGCAGCTGATAACCGCTGTTACAAACACGCGTCCCCATCCCATCTCCTGCTTGGATCCTGTGGTGGTTGCTGCTTCTCCAGGACACTATGTTGTTACTTTATATTGCTTTTGGTTTGTTTTGGGGTTTTTTTTTTTTGTAAGGGCATGCTGGCTACCTGAGACAGCACGGGCTGTCAAAAACGTAAACCTCGGTTTGCCAACACATGTTCATGTCTAAACATTTTTTTATTACCTCCTAAATCAGGTTTGGAAATTACTTTCCCTCTCAAGCAAGGAACTTGCAGGCTGTTTCAGTGATATATATAAACACATCTCATTCAGAGGACACTAAACCCAAGACTTTTCTGTAACAGGTATTTGTATAAGTGGGACTCTATACATGAACACGCATACACACAATGTTACTTGAGGCAGGATTTGCAGGGTATGCTCAGGCATTTTTGGAGGCTGTTTTCTGTAAGTTCAGTTCAGCCTATATTTACTGTGCTGTATTGTGCTTGAAGCTGTAATTAAAAATAGGAGGAATAAAATTAGGAAAAGGCTATACTTTTGAAGATGAAAGCCCTATCAGCAATTTTGAGAAGCGTGGGACACTTGCAACTTGAGGTTCAAAGTGTGGTGATTAAAAATAGAACTTGTGAAAATTTTAGAGAACCAATTCCTATGACGTTGAATTATCTTACTGCGTAAGATAATTCTGACAGCTGCTTGTCACCAAAATGAGTTTGTATCTAAAACTGGAATTGATGAAAGAAATCTGTCATAAACTATAATTATTTTTTAAAATAATGATCTGGTCATATTTAACTATGGCAATAAAGGGATTTTCACTGTTACTTAAGTTTTCTTGTAGAATTTAAATTTCTCCAATGACCTTCTCAGTGTCTCTGATGCTAAGAGGTGCTGAGTACTTGCATTTTGGTACGTGTCGGGTCCATGGGTAGCTGGGACCTCCCTGTATGAGACCACGTGAAATGGTCAGGGTGGATCCCAAAATGAGGCCAATGCCATTGAGGCTTACATACCTTCTGTAATGACAAAACCTGCAGAGTTCGCACTCAAAGCAAACACAGCCACACAGTCTGCGCGTTGGTCCAAAGTAGTTTATGACTAGGCAATGCGCTACTTCTGAATTCATGCAGGCTATTCACACTCATCTCACAAGGAGATGTTTGTGAAAAGTCCAGAAAACACTGCACAGGAAAACTAAACAAACCTCGTCTGAGTTTCATAGAGCTTGTCTCAGTCAAAAGTCAGGAATACTCTCTGCTGACAAACTTCTTTTATCCCATTTAAAAATTGCATTTTCTAGCCAAAATGCACAGCCCAACCTTGGGGAATGTGGGATTTTACACTGTTGTTAGCAATATCACCTCTGAAACACAGATTTTGTAGCACCTTTCCTAGGACAGTCTCTGAAGAAAAATGTTGTGTGTACATACACTTACATTCATGTCTCTTCGGTTAGGTCTAATTCTACATAACCTCTTGCTGCAGTGACTAGTCACACTACCTTTAATTTAGAGATAGTTTCTGCCATCAAGATGCATTAATTTTAGTATGAAGAAATTGTAGAATGGAGCCTTTTTGTTTCTGGTAAGATAGGTTTAATTAAGTTAGAATATGTAACAACGAACAAGATTTTGCAAGTTACCTTGTCTTGTCTTGGTTTTACCAGATTTGTATCCCTCCAATAAGATTATTTCTTTTTTTCCTTTGTGTTCTTTTACACAAGAAAATTTAAAAGAACAGAATTGTGTATAAGGTTGGGAATTACTGGTCGAGATACAACTTTGCAGTCCAATTACTGTGTCTCTCAAAAAAAAAAAAACAAAGTGAAAAAAGCGTTTTGGAGCTGGACTTTGAACCGAAACTTTTTTCCCTTATAAATTTGTTATTTATCTCTGCTTTATGTTATTTAATTCTTAAAAAACAAACAAACTTGGAGAAGGATTGTGTTCATTTTTCCAAAGAGTTTCCTTTAACTGGAGCTAAAGAATTAAAAGAAAAGATAAAAGCTGGAGAAAGGTCAAACAAACATCACTAGAACCTGGGATAGGGAAGAATGGTAAGACTGTACAGCGATACTATGTCCCTAATACTAAGCACTAAATATGCTCGGTAGCTTTTAGGATGTTTCTTTTTTAGTCTCTGTAGGTTAACAACTGCAAATAATAATTTAAAAAAATAGGAAAGTGGTTAGTTCTGTGCATCAGTTACAGATTGCAGATACTAGTTGTCTGCAAATCAAAGCTTGGGAATTGCTGGTGCAGCAAATAGCTACTGGGCAAAGAACTTTACATACTGTGGTCACTTGGTATAAAGAGCATCAGAGCAAGGGAAAACTACATCAGCAGGTGTCACTGCAGGCTCCAAAACCAGTGTAAATTTCCAAGGAAGATTGCAATTAAAACCTTTTTTATGTTAGACATGCATTAGGTCTTGTTCTTCTCATAGGCAGCAAGAATGAGTGGAAATTAATCTGCCGTAATTTAGTACTTTCAATAGCATTAACATTTTCCATGTGCAGGACCTGTTTGCACTGGGCATGTAAACGGAACCATGCTCTGGTGGTGGCTTACCTGCTGCACGCTGGCGCTGACAAGGAGATCCTCACGAAGAAAGGAGAAAGGCCGGCCCAGTTAACATCAAAGAGAGAGATCAGGAAGATGTTGGGAGGTAAACCTATTGGCTATGCGATATGATCGTCAGAGATAGTAGTAAAAGGCCATTTAAAGCATGGATATTCCGATTATTTTGTACGTGGAGATACTGTGTTTGGATTTTAGTAATAACTATGACTTGATTTCTGGAGTGTTTACTTGGTAAGAAATCAAAGTTTAAGAAAAGCAGATTACCAACAAATTCCACATCCAGCTAGCCAAACTTTTTTCCTAAACTCTGAAAAATTAGAAAAACTGTATTTTGAAAAATGCCATGATTAAACCAGTGACAGATAGATAAAGCTTCCTATTTTTAAAAGGGCAAGAGGAGAAAAATCTCTCAAATTTCTATGAAGCCCTCATATGAGCAACATCTGTATTTTCCCAACATTCTATGGAGCTTAGGTACTGTGTGGAATAAATTGAAAATTAGCAGCCCAGATAAACAGCTCATTAGAGGACATTGGTAGAGCACTTTTATCATGTTCTGTAACTGTTGGAGCGGAGTAGGCTTTGCTGCTAGAGGTAATAAGTAATTTGAAATGTGGTCGATTAACAACCTCTTTCCTCCCTTTTGTATTCCCTTGTCTGTTTTTGTTTTCATTTTTGTCTCCCAGCTGTTGAATTGGTAATGTTTCAGCTCTCCCAGCACTGCATGTTCTTTTCTCCTTATGCCCTGCCTTCATATCGAACAACGTATTACCCTTTGTTTTTTATTGCCTTATACATTATGAAGACGATAGCATTATACCACCAGAGACCACGTTACAACGTGCTGGCTATGGATTAAAACAAAACCAAAACAAAAGTACTGCAGCGCTCAGAAGGCAATAGCAACCCCAGAATTACTGGAATCAGACTCTGCTTTTGTGTTTACTGTATTGCAACTCCTGAGCACGGTTCTGTTTACTGTAGAAAAAAGGCATAGTGCTTCTTGAATCATCTTGTATCCTGTGATGCTTTTAACCCTCTGCTCCCTCCCCCTAAAAAAGAGCAAAAATTAAAAAACAAAAAGAAAGAAACCCCACAGGGCAATGGCAATACCTCTTTTTTCCCCCGCTCAAATCAATCTTGGAGAACATTGTTTTGTTTGTTTTACAGTGGAAGATGATGAACTCCAAGACTTAAAGAAGGATTCTGATCTGCCAATCATCCCTAATTACCTGGCTAATCCACCTTTCCCCTATGTTTATAACACCATTCCCTCTGTGAATGGCAGTATCTCACACTTGGAGTCGCAAGACACCAATTCTTCTTCCTTACCCGATGTGGAGGCTTGCACACATGCACCATCACAGTGTGGGAATGCTGCTCCCGAGGCAGCCGATAACGGAGGCATGCCGTCGCTGCCCAGAGGGTGTACTGTACCCCCGCACTCAAAACCTGTCCTTCAGAGAGCTCCAGTGTACCAGGGATCTGTGTCTTGGAGCAGAAGTCCCCCTTCGCCAGCTGGATCGAATCAGTCTGCACCTCAGCAAGAGAACGGCTCCAGTATGGGGCCTGTGCCAGCATTTCAGCCGGTTTTCTTCACAGGAGCTTTTCCACTTAATATGCAAGGTAACGGTAAAAATCTCTTCTCACTTTGTCTTGGAACTTCTGTCATCTTGGACAGTGAAAACAGACTGATCAGGGTTACGTGTATTCACAGCACTTGGTGAGATTTTCCAGGTTCCCATGCTTAGGCATTCGGGAAACATTTGAAGGGGAATAAAGAAGCAGATATCTGTTTCTGCTGGAGCTGTTATTAAAATATTGATGAAAATATTTTCTATTTGTTTCAAATGCTATAAAAGCATACAGACACCAGGGTAATCTAATTCTCTAAATAGCATATTCCAAGCTTCAAATAAAGAACGTGAGTACGCAGCCAGTGAGGTCAAGAGAGAACCTCACATGGCTCAATCTGCAGACCTGCGTCTTGAGGTGAACTATTACACAATCTGCCATTTCTGCAGGTAAATATTGTCTGCCCAAAGAGGGAAAGCTGGAGTTTCAGTTTCAGCTCAGAATTTAATTCTTGACAGAAAAGGGGTTCTGATGCCATGAATTAGGAATGAGAAGGTAACTGGTGACCAAAAGAATCAAGAAATGATAAAAGCAATCTTGGATCGCTCAGGAAATTGATAACTAGTATAATCTTTTAAGTTAGCTTAAGTCCAGTAAGATGAGTATTCACGCAAAAGTTCATACATGCATACAGACCCACTGTATTAGATTTGTAATGATTTTTTCATACAGGCTGGTGAAAGTCAGTCTAATGAAAATTGTGTCCAAAACAAGTCCAGTTGTTTGCTTTCTGAGGATTATTGTGGTTGCAAATGATACAAACAAGGTTAATAGAACATAGAAATATTTGGAAGTTAGTATAGAAATATCTTTTCCCATTCCTTTATACATCTGCCTATTAATGTACCTTTTTATTTCTAATAGAACTGGTGCTTAAAGTTAGAATACAAAACCCTAATCTTAGAGAAAATGACTTCATTGAAATTGAACTGGACAGACAAGAACTGACCTATAAAGAACTGCTCCGAGTGAGTTGCTGTGAGCTGGGTGTTAACCCTGAGCACGTACAGAAGATCAGAAAATTACCAAATACAATGTTAAGAAAGGTAAGAACTCTATAATTTTGAAGTGCAGTTACTTACCAAAAATATTTTTAGGTTTCTATTGAAAAGGAATAATTTGTTGGTCACCTGCATAAGCCCATGTTGCAAAAAAAACCAAACCAAACCGAAAAACCTCCCTTCAACTTCCAGCACTCAGCAGTTGTCCGTTTTGTGTTTTTTAGTAAAAAGATTCTCAAGTTTCTTGATCATTTCCTTTCGTCAACATTTGGTGTTGAGCCTAACTAATACCTGATTTCTCTACTACATTCTTCAATTTAGTTCCATACCACACCACTGTGATCTGTCGTCAGCATTTAAAAGGCCTGCAGTACTCAACTGAGTTTTGCGAGCTCAGTGAGGACTGTATGCAGTCCTTTCAAAAAACAGGTGTTTCGGAATTGCTCCGAGTGCAGATCTCTGAATGTAACCATCTTTTCACGTCAGTGACATTTACTGGTGCAGGAAACAGAAAGTGGACCTGCTGACCTGTTTTACTGAGTCACCGTTGACCTTTCTTTCACTCTCAAACCCCTCTAGAGCATTGTTGGTGTCAGTCACGGAGCTAATCTGATTAGTACGAGATTAATAGCCTTCATTGTACTGCATCTTCACAGACTTTAAGAGGACTTACTAGTTAGTCAAGGAGTGGGGAAAAAAAGACATAAGTAATTCTGTCACTTGTGGACTTAGGCTGCTGTTGAAAGGACTCCTTTTATTTCCAGGTCCAATTACTGCAGGCTCTCTGGGTAGGACTGCAGGACACTTCTTGTTCCTTGAGGTGACACAAAACTAATTCTCTTTAATGCTGTCTGGCAGCAGAGTGCTGCTGCAGAGGGGATCAGCGCTGAAGCCTGTGGGAGGGCATCTTCCATTGCTCTCCAAAGACCCTGCCTCAGCCAGCGCTATGGTGGTGCTGGGGGGCCGCTCCGCAGGGGGCTGCATACGGGACCTTGCGTGGAGGCAAGAATCAATTTGTGAGCTTCTAAGATTACCAAGGGGGAAAAAAAAAAAGAGGAGTTGGGGGTGACATGCAGATGATCCTTACAAGCATAATTCCACTAATCACTTGCACTCTCCACAAGTATTGCATTCCTTCTAAAAATAGACTCAAGTGAGTAGCTGAATAGGATCCCAGAACAAATACAAGATGCAACGAGATGTCTGCTTTCCAGTTTACTGTAAAGAACTGTCATATTTATGGATAAATACATTCCTTGTATTAGTGTGAGTGTATTATTTGAACTTACCTCTGCAAAATTTAACACATGGTTCATCACCTAACAACTTGTTGTATTTATTTAAAGGACAAAGATGTTGCAAGGCTACAGGATTTCCAAGAACTGGAGCTTGTTCTAACAGTAAGCGACAAAAACTTACTTTTCAGAGTCCCAGCACCTTCTGAACAGAGTGGTTATAACAAGAAGGCATCAGAACTGACATATTAATTGTTTAAAGGATAAAACAAAAGATTTGTATCTATCTCATTTAAAATTACATTTGAAATACAGTATCTTTAAGGGCTAATGATGTTTAAAAAAAAATCTATTTTGTTAACCTTGAAATAAACGAAAGTTGTTATGCACAGTTACAACCTCTAGTTAATCTAAGAGTAATGAGTCTGATAGGAAAGTAGCTTAATGCAAAGGAAGTATTGGTAAAACTATCTATTAATGCAACACTTTTCCGTACAGAAATCTTGAAATACTGTAGAGTTAGCAGCTCTCAGGGAAAGGCTTACCTTAAACTCTTCTAATAATTTGTTTGCTATAAAATAGCAGAGGTACTCAAGCTAAAGAACCCGCCATGAAACCCATTTAATATTTGTACTGAGTGCATTACCATTAATGTTCACTTTTTAGATCATGTATTTTAAGTCGTATCTCATTTAGAAGGAAAAAAACAGAAGGGTTTAAATCTGTGGAAAAAGCACAAAACTATGTCTAGTTTAAATACTACCAAGTGACTTATTACCTGTGTTTCCTTAATCCCTGTTTACACTTTTCCCTATTTCTCAGGTTGAAAACAAAAAGTGATAGTAATTATCCAAATCACAAATATGCTCTCAACTAAAATCCCTTTTATGTTGTCTGTCAATAGATAGTATTGACTTGTGCAATTTAAAATACTATTTTTGTTACTGTATTGAAAACATATTTCTCCAATGCTGCTTTAATTTCCCCTCATAAAAGCACAGAAATCGTAAATTTATTTTCCTTTTACCTCTACGTTCCTGAGAAGGATGGCATCTTGAAACTTCAAAGTTGCCTGTGTAAAAAGAGACTCGTGAAATGCCCAGGGTTTTCTGGGCTGATGTCAAATCTTGATGTTCCTATGCAATGTATTTTCTTTTTTTCCAATGACTTGTGTTGACTCGTGTTCCTTACTGAAAAATCACTTTTCCTGTTAACTTAAAATTCAGAATTAGACTACTTTGCTATGAAATTCTGGAATAAATAAATTGAAAAGTATTTAAGAGCTGGATGTTATCTAATTTTTTAGGATTTTAGTATTTACTCAGTCATCTGCATTTGAGGAGGAGTTCTATTCCGGTAGCCTAACTGTGAAAGTATGTAGTATGAATTAGATGAATGAACTAAAGTAAGGGAGAGAACAGGCAAACAGAACACACCAAACTGGACTGAATTTCCCACTGTTTCATCTTCCCCCTTCCTCCCTGCCCCCAGTTTCTTTGGAAACTGTAGCAACCAAAGGATTTTACTGTCTTCTTGTCTGAGAATTTACAGCCCAAGTTAGCTGTACATTGTATGCAGACCTGTAAATGGAATTTCTAGCAGTAGCGTGCTGAGCAGGGAGCCACCCAAACTAGCTGGAGGAAACGCTAGGCTAACTGCAGCGTAAGCTCTCCGCCCTCCAGATTATGTCCTCTGACGGGAGTTAGGTATCCACCGCAGCCCTCTCTCCTTTCTCGGAGGCTGTGGCAGGTAGAGAAGTTCGTTCTTCCCCTGCAGTTGGAGTGGTCACCTGTGTTACAGCTAATACAACAGGAACTGGTACCCAAATTTACCCTTGCGCTCTCTCTCATCCAGTGAATAGTACTTTGTGCAAGGGAAGCAGCTCCAGCGGGAGTGACTGAGCACACAAGAGGGAGCCCTCTCCCGATCTGCCTTGTAGTCGAATGTCCAGTGTCCACCTGGAAGCAAAGATCCATGCAAACACCCAAATTTCCTGCGTGCCAGTTAACTAGACTGAAGCTCAATCTGCTAAGGCTAACAGTAGAATGCTTCATCACAGCAAAATACCCTCTTCTGAACAAGCGTTGGAGGTCAAGTGTGGCCTGTCACCTATTTTTTTATACCAAATTGCTGGTGGTGTGTTAACTTCTCTATAACGGAATAATAAAATTGTTGTTCCTCGTATCACACTTCATCTGTTCCATTCTCCCTGGCACACAGAACAGAATCGGTTTAGGCATCGGCTCTGTAAATGCCAGCTAAATCCATGAAGGTACCAGGCATACCCAGTCAGACCTACGAGAGAAAAGCTCAGCTGTTGGGTGGGTGGGTGACCTTGTTGTGACACTGCTTGTCTTGCACAGATGCCGACTGTTATCTATGCATTCAGAGGAATATTTTTATACCTTATGCAGTTTATACATAGAAGATACTATTAACACTCCTAACAATCTGATCAGTGTATAATCATTACATTACTGTGTATGATAAATAATTCATTACTTTGTGCTCTGCGACATGAAATGTTCATGTCAAATGAATGCTTGGCTGCAGATTCTTGTCTCTATTTAAGAATAATTATTTGTAAGAATTAATAAATGATTATTTTCGTCTTCTCAAAATTTTTCTGAACTTTACTTATGGAAAAACACAGGAGCTTTTTCTTGCCGGTTTCTAGAGTGCTTGGTGGAGGAAGTGAACAACTAAAGCAAAAGCCATTCTAACAGATTCTAGCAGCAAATACTGTTTAAGCAAAGTACTCCCTTTATCGGAGGAGGCTTGGTTATCAATAAGAAGGTAGATACTTTTTTCTGCAAAAGAAATCACATTATGTCAGGTGATAAGTGTTAAGTGTGGTAAATTATATATGCATCTGCTCAGTATGCGTGTCCAGCTTCAGTGGAGACTTAATCATAGTGACTTCACACTTAAGAGCAAGATAGCAAAATTACAATACTTCTGTGCCAATCATGTTCCTGCAGGCTTATGTGGAGTCTACTAAACTGGTAGAAATTTTGTAGTTAATTATTTATATTAAGCCATATTTAGGTTTAGTTTTAAATACACTTGTAATTCTTATGCTGAAGAGGATTTTTTATAATGCCAAAGTTGCCCTGGGCAGAGATACCAAAGGTTCTGGGACAGCTGACAGCCCTGAAGCTGCAGCATTCAACTGCCTTCTCCTGGTGGAAACACTGAAAGGAACAGGTTGGAACCACTCCGAGATTACACACCATTTCTCTTTTTTTCAGCTGAGTCACTGCTTAACTGAGCCTGTCTTTCCACTTCAAAACCAATGAATCCTTATGCAGAAAACACACAAAACCAGGTATTTTGTACCATTAATATAATTTACTAATTATAAACCTGAATACAGTACATACTGCCCTGTGATACATATTCTTGGCAGAATGTTTGGCATTCTTTGGGAAAAAAGCATGTAATAAAATACTTTGTAGAAAATATTTAAAAATATAAAATTCACTTTCTGGTCCTTATAACTGTAAAATACTTTGTTCACATATCACAAGTTTAGTTTACTACAAAAACTGTTTTGTAAGTTACAGTACATTCACAAGTCACTTTTGTGGCAAGTCAGTAACATTAAAAAACCCCAAACCAAAATCCCAAGGGGTCGTCTTTTCATGCCAGTCCAGCATCTTTGGCCATACTGTAGAAGATACCCTTTGATGCTATAAGGCTTGCAGGTGTATCGAATTCAGCTATAGTTCCGTTGTCTAGAACAAGAACCCTGTGCAAAACAAAAGGCGGTGGTGGGGGTAAGATGTGTCAGAGAATTCCTCAAGAGAAATGGGATACCCCTTTTTATCACAAAGCAAACTGCTCTAATCTCTGACTTGCCTTTGTGTTGCTCAATTATTTTCACATGTTGAAACACAACAAATGATAAACTTTCTCCCTGAGCTGCTGTTTAATTTAAAAATGTACAGGGCACTCACTATCTCCCATGGTAATAAGGGGCGAAAAAAAACCCAAACCCAAACCAGTGTCATACTGGTAGTTCTGGAATTGAAAATATAGAAAGCCAAGGAGATAAAAGCTCATGAAGTAATGTATTTTAAAGTAATTAATATGACATGATGTTAGCGAAAAAGTTACAGCAGCTGCTAGTTAAAAAAGGATCCCTAAGCTTGCTGACAGTGCCATTAACGCGACGGGGCAGTATCCCCTGCGCAGCTCTGGTTAGTGAATACAGAACCTGTTTCTTACTCCAACAGAGGCAAAGTCAGGTCTGGATATTCTAGCATGATATGGCTTAAACATCATTGCTTACATACTGCCTGACAAAAGCATCAGTGTGACTGTCTAGAGACAAACCAGACCCTTTCGAAGTGCTGCTTCACATATCCAGTAAACCCGTGAGCCTCCCTCGCCATGCACCATTAAGAGATTTTTACCTCGTGTAGTCCATGACTGTGTTCAGCCTGTGTGCTATTGTCAGCACTGTGCAGTCTTCAAACTGGGTCCTAATTGTCATCTGGATAAGATCATCCGTCTCAAGATCGATAGCTGCTGTCGCTTCGTCTAGGATCAAGATTCTTGTCTTGCGAAGTAATGCTCTTGCCAGACAGACGAGTTGTCTTTGGCCAACGCTGCAAGCAAAGACAGGGCTTTCACAAACGAGGCCCCACTGCCCTTAGCTCTCCACTGCTCAGAATCACTTGTGCTAGAGCAGGTCACTCACCAGGTAAAGTTACCAAACAAAAAACCAATAGTATTTAGCAAACAGCCAAGTCCGTCAGCCCTAGAGCTAATAAATACACACTGCGGCACTACTCAGCTAGTTTTAGCGTATGTGTTCACTTACTGCCTGACCCAGTACTGGCAGAGCCACCAAATGCCCCCTTTCTATCACCGTGACAAAAGCCAGGGAAACTAGCAATTACAATGCTTCCACCTGAATTTTCAGAAACACACACAGTTTTAACAACGCTGAGCATATGCACACTTTAAAAAAACCAAAAAGAAAAGAAAAAAATGTTCTGAGGCTGTAAATCCTTTCTACCATCACAAAAAAAAGAAAGATATGTGGTCAGCCCACGCTTCCTCCCCTGCTACAAACGCACCCCAGACACAGCCTCTGTCTGAGTGTCCCTGCGGGATGAGGAAGGAGTGGAACATTCGTGACACAGACAATCTGGTTACACCACAGGCTCAGAAGCCAGTGCAGCGTATCAAAGCATGGCATTCTATCTTCCCATTCATGTCTTCATGGGTCTTCCAAATAGTAATGGAGAAGAAACATCGCTAAGGTGTCAGTTTAGGCAGAGGACTCTTCCTCAGCACAACAGTTGTACACGTTACCATGGCATTTCCCTTCCTACCAAACCATGTTTAAGGGACTGCCCTTTCCTAATACCCTGCCATC